CGGATCCTCTTGGTGGAACTTGCTCTCCTCGATGTAACTGAAAAATGGTTTGAATCTTTAGAAAATGATATATTTTTTATTTTAATATTTTGATTAATATTTTTTATTATAATTCGCTATAATATACTTATAGATAGAAATATAGTAATTTTTAGTATATGAATATATAGTATGGGTATTTTATCTGCTTATATGATTGTAATTTTTGGAATTTGACTCCAAATGAATTTGAGTTTCTCCAGAAATATTGAAAATCATAAAATATGCTATCATTTTCTTGATAATTGTAATAACTTCAATAGAACATTGTATACATTTGATTTATACTCTGGTGGTACAATTTTTATTGATTTCAAAATTCTAATCAACAATATTCCTCTTTTTAGATATCACTATTTTTTAATATACTTCCTAATATATTATTCTTAATATTATGAAGTCGAATAAATATATAACAACTCTGAAATTTCATTTCAGAATATTAAATATGAATACAATATTAAAAAATAAATAATAATAAATAAAATGAAATATAAATATCTGTGAAAGTATAAGGATCAAAATTGTGTCTTTTCACAAATCATTCTTATTGTCCTGCATTTCTTGACAAATTCCTATAAATAGAAATAGGGAGAATTTTCCAGCAAACAAACTATCGAATAGACCTGAGAGACGATAACGATAATCAAATATACGACAAAGCTGTCTAAGCTGTGCTTTCTTATCAGACGTAAATTTCACGGTCGAGAAAACACATCTTTCGTTAACAAAATCTGATAGAGAAACCAAGATCAAGGAGAAAAAAAATTTGTACGAGGACAGAATTTCTACTGTATGAAAAATATTGAAAAAATTTTGAGAGTTGATTATTTATAGAGAATTATTTGAGAGCATGGAGTGTATATGTAAATGTATTTCTATAGAATCATTGAATATTATTCGATAATAGGATCATTAAATTTTTTATTTCATTGATTTATCATGTCAATTCGACAGTAAATGTAAAAATCAATATGTTTTGTATATCGTTTCATTTGTAAATTATTAAAACAGTTTTAAAAATTTTCTTTTATAAAAAATTTTTAAATTAATTTATAAATTAATTTATTATATCTGAAATTTAATATTTAAATTATTTAACTTTTTCAAAATCGAATAATTCATTCATCTCTAATTATTTCAAACAAAATGTGCTGTTAAAAATTTACTCTTTTATATATAAAAGTATATAAAAATATTCTAACATGCATATTTATTATTTATATAATTCTACTTTATTTTTATTTTTTTAAGTATGAAACTTTAAGAAATGATCTTTTTAATTATATTGATATATAATTAAAAGAAATTATTTTTATAAATCTTTATATATTTATATATATATCTTATATATCTTTATTATATTTTTATTCATAATTCATAAATATTAATATTTTTTAATTTTAGTTTTCATTAAGATCTAGATAGTTTTTCTAAAACGAATTTTAATCAATTATATTTCATTTCTCCATGGGAAAATATATTTTATCTTCACTTTTTCTCGTTTCATAAAAAAAACAGGTGTAACAGCAATCTCGTTGACGAGGTGAAAAGCAAAAGTGCAAAATATTCCCGCGTGAATCTTCAAAACGAACATTATGCAGGCGCGTTCTCATGTATGTTAATAACATTTACATTCGATATAACACAGCGCCATCACGCGATGATATAATGGCCAAGGTGAACTTTTGAAATCGTATTGCGCCTTTCTCCCGTCGTTTTCTCCCCTTAACTTCGTTTCTTTTTCGTTTACACATTAGAATGCATTTCTTTCTTTTCCAAGAAAAAAATATTTGAAGTATGAAACTCGAAGAAATTAATTATTTTTATCGACTTTTTAAAATCTTTTTAACACATTCTCGGCTATTAATGTATAAAAGTTATGCATTTTTACATTAAAATATACTAAATTATATAATATAATTCTGTTTTTTGTATAAAAAAAAGCGAAATTTTTAATTAAACTTATTTTAACGAGATGAAGTGATTTTAACGAGTTTTTTTTTTTATTTGAATATGTGGTGGAAGATATGGAATTTCAAAGAGTTTCATAATATTCATATAAAGAGAATGAAACAGACATATAAAAGACATTTTGCTTAAAATTTTTGACATTTTCACAAATGTAACAAATGAAATATGTCTGAAATGTTACATTTATTCTAATTAGCTCTTTTAGAATCATAATATTGAATGATATTTTTTAACTGACCCATTTTATATTTTTATTCATACAAGAATAATAATATTTTTGCAATAATTCTGTAATAATTTTACCAACTGTACAAAATTATTTAAATATATCATTTGAAAATATTCTGTTTTTTCCAACTTTTAATTCTCAAATATTATGATTATAAAAAATATTTGCACACCATTGTATTTATTGCAACATTTGAATTAATATTAATTAATTAGAATAATATTAATCTAAATATTTTACATATATCATATCATATGATATATCATATTTCAATAATGATTATAAAAATTAGATACTGTAAAAATGAATTTTAAAATATGATTTAAAAAATCATTTCATTTCAAATATTTTTTATAACTCTTATAACTATCTTTATTAAAAATAAAAATTGAACAGTCAGAATTAAAACTTTATTATTTGAAAAATGAAATGTGATTGATTTCAAACAAACTATAGTCTATCTTAAATTACATCAATCCCATCTCCATCTTATTCAAATTCATCTTATAAAAATTTAAATTTACTACAATTCTCTATTATTTGAATTTATTTATCTTATTTCATTTTCAAAATTACGTCACAAGAAAAATATTCAAACAACGAAATACTCAAATAAAAATTAATAGCAATTCAATCATTTCAAAAGAATGCAATATTCTGAGTAAAGCTACGCATCTCATATATTGTTATATTGCGAAGGAACAAAATTTCTTTATCATTCAATATTATTAAATCATATGCAATAAAATTTACGATTTATCGTTATATTTTGACTTTTAGTTTAATATCTATATTTCCATTAATATAAATCATACGTAATATGTGTACCATGGAAGTTAGAATCGGAAATTAATCACTCATGGAAATAATTTTGTCTAAATGAATCATAATAATATAAACCACGATTTACGATTTTTCTTATTAATTTTATAAACAATCTTATTTTTATTGCATAATATATCTCTTCAAACTCAAATATTTTTAGATTTTTATAAGAAAAAAAATTTCTTTTTACCAATGATTTATAATATAGATATATCAACATATATTAATTATAAATTATATAAACATTTTTTATGATTTTTTATAATAAAAATATAAAAAATTAAAATATAAATTTTGTTGCATAAAAAATTGTATATTACAATATTATAATATTAAGGAGAAAAAAATTAAAGTTAAAAAATTCATCGTAAAATAAAAATAATAATAGAAAAATTCCTCTTGTTACAATTATGTTCATGAGTGAAGCTCGTTGACAAGATCTAGAGCGGATCAATGGTCCACAGTGACTCATAATGTTCCATGGTTTATGCACTCAACGTGCTTTCTGAATCTTTAGAATCTTTAGATACTATTATTACTTTCTCCTAATTCCTTCTAAACTTCTAAACTTAGATTTAATCCCCCTCCAAAAAAATTACGTTTAATTTTAACCTCTTGTGAGACGAATTTAAGTTTAAGTCTAAAAGAAAGATTTATTTTTTATGTTTGCTTGAAATATATTTATATATATTAAATATATTTTTATTGAAAAGGAAACAAAATTCGATATTAATTAAAAAAAGACATTTCATATGATATGTCTTTGATAATAAATTAAATAAAAATTACATTTGTAATACATCTGTATTATATCGATATTTCTAAAGTCATTAAAAATTATTACAGCGAAAAATACAAAAATAATTTTTCATTTATTCAATGTGAAATAAATTTTAATTAGTAAGACTTACTTATTAACTGTAAGAATATATTTGAAGAGTGGAATTTTAAAGGAATAATAAATTTTGAAAAACTCTATGTTAAAAATAGGATCTGTTTTGTTGTGACGCATTTATCGAAAAAAAAAAAAAAAAAAAAAAAAAAAAAAAAAAAAAACAATTACTCCGAACAAGAGGTTTAAATTGTTTGATCGATTCTATAGTGAATATCGAGTAAATGAAAAAAAAGACACTGAAAATAGTAGAATCCAGAGTAATGTTTCAGTTTATTGCGACATCCTGATTGTCGAACAAGCTTCTTTATGATGGAATCGTAAATCTCGAATATTCTCCGTTATTGATACGTGAAAATTAACTCTTAATCAAAATTCAATTGTGCCACGAAACAAGAGGATCGAATACAACGAGTTTCTGAAAATAAACAATTAACAAAATATAAAATGTATTTTAAACGTAAAAATTGTGTTAAATTTTATTAATCATCAGAGAAAAAGAATTTTTCTTGATTTGTAAAGAATGATTAATTCATTCCATTAATTACAGATATCAAAACGAGTCAAATATTTCTAACTTCTGAATATTTAAATTAATAATAAAATTAATATTGTTTAAGTTGAAATATTAAAATAAATTTATTTATTTGAATACAAATTTCCAATAATTTTTCGATTGGTAAATATTAATAAACAAACAAGATTAAATTTCTGAAATATTACGAATATTTCATTCATGCTAATCATGTCCGAATCAAAAATCAATTATTTTATTCCGATAAAAAATTAATTTGTTATATATTTTGCGTATAAACTTTAACAAATATATAAATATTAACAACCAATAAGATTGCTTTTTGTAATTAATTAACCAATCATTCGATAGAGCAACTTAACCAAATTAATTTCTTAACCTCTCTAAGATAATATTTCTCAATAATTTTTTTTTCTTTTATTTAATTGAATTATTTCTTTTATATTTCGATGTAAAATTATTAGAGATTGGTAATTTTTTTAACAATAAACTTTTTCTAATTTCAGGTAAAGCTGTACCATTTGTTGAATTAACCGTAGCACACGCTTCAGTTTTGACGATTCTAGCCATCAGTTTTGAACGGTATTATGCAATTTGTGAGCCCTTACGAGTTGGGTAAGTAAGAAAAGAGGATAACAAAATATTTTTCAAGTAAACTCGTAACATCTTTCTAAATGTGTTTTGAATGCATATGGATACAGTTACGAAATCAACCAATACTCAAATACTCAGAAAAGCTTGACCGAGAAATATGAGAGTGGTCTGAAAAATTTTATCTTCATTTAAATAAAAAATAAACGAGAAGATATATTTTTGTAAAACAAAATAAAAAAAAATATAAATTTATATGATAATTTACTCTTTAATTTTAAATTTACACATTTTTTCCCCATATAATCGTCATTTCCTGCAATATATTATCGTCAATAATTTTTCTAAAAATCTTGAATCCATTTCTTCATGGCAAACTTCATTCTTTCATTATAGTTAAAAAGTTTGTTTTTCATTTTTTTTTTAATTTCGAAAGCAGGTGAAAACATTAGATGCCTGTACGATAGATAAGATTTTGAGAAAAAGGCAATAAAAATTAATACATTGATTAAAAATTATGTTACAAAATTATGTTACACAATATTTTTATAAATAAAGATATATCTTTTCACTTATTTTTTTATTTAAATAAAGTCTTTTATTTAAATAAATAATTTTTAGCTCATATTTGAAATATACAATAATTTGAATTCGATGAAGCTATGTAGATTTTTTTAAAGAGAGAAATATCGATTTGAAAAATTGTGATTAAAGAGAATTTGCAATTCTAATATTGAATATGACTCTAACAATGAATAGAGAGGCTCACGATGAAATTTAGGTTAGATATATACGGGTCAACACATGCATTGACCCGTATATATATATATATTCCGAATGCAAAGTTATACCTGATAAAGAATGCTGTGAAAATTAAATGGACAGAAACGTGGAAAGAAAAATAAAACTCGTCAAACTTCATCATTTACATCGATATAATGTATAAGCACAATATAAAAAATATATCGAGTATACCAAATCTTTTTACACATCTTCACACATTTATTTCTCGTTTCTTTTTAGTATATACAATAATATTCATCTTTTACACGGAAATATACTTTTTACACTTAAATTGTTACGCAAGTGTTCAATCAACAGAAACGAAACACTCAATTTCTTGAAACTTTATCATTGTGCCAAAGCATTTTAAAAATATTTAAAAAAGAAGAAAAAAAAGAAGAAAAAAAAGAATATGCTGCTTACCACTTCCTTATGAGACATGTCGACTTTTTTTTTTCAAATCCAGTAATTTTCTTGTACGATTTCAATCAGTCTAATGCTGAAAATCTTCAGATATAGCACATAATTGATATTAAATTTTTGTTATCTTGGATCTTGGATAAAAATCACGATTTTGGTTTGTATTTTCATACTACAGATATATGTGCACAAAGGCTAGAGCGACATTTCTTTGTTTCGTGGCGTGGATTGTGGCAGCGATTTGCACCAGGTAAGAGAATGAAACGAATGATTAGCATTTCTCAAAGCTGATGCATACTATGCTTTCGTTTGCTTCTCGATTTTTTTTTCTTCTTATCTTTTCGTTCTTCGCTATTTTTTTTTAATTTCCTCTTGATCTAACATTTTTGCAACAAAAATATTCAACATCGTGATATATAAAATCTATTTTACGTATAAATAATCGTAATTAAAACGATGTGATGAAAATAAATAAATATAATTAATAATCTTTTAAGAAATATTATAATAGTTTATTGTTCTTATTTTTTCTTTTTGGATTGTCATAATTCTCTCGTCCAAGTTAAAAATGAATTCTTAACAAAGTCTAATTTTCTGTTCCATTTATACGATTGAAAGCGCCATTTATTATTTCGACTCGCAAAATGATTTTCAACTTAATCGCTAGAGGGCGTATATAATGTATCAAAGTAACACCGTGCCATAATTGCAAATTGTAATGAATCGCGTAACGTGTCATGTCAATGGACTAGTTGCTCAAGCAATAATATTCATCCCGTTAAGCATTGAGTTGCATGTTTCTTGTCTAATATTTTTCTTTATTCGTTTTAATTTTTATTTCTATCTATGCGCTATGTGTAAATAATAAAAAGCCTTGAAGTTCAATTAAATATTACGTTTATACGTGACAAGTTTTTATCGCGATGCAAATGATCGTTGAAATTCTAATGACACAGTGAAAAATAATGAAACATCAAAATTAACAATTAAATAACAAGTAGATACTTTAAGTTTCTTAGTAATTCTAGAATTGTTGATAATATGTATAATACATAATTAAATATATTATATATATGTTTATAAATTAATTAAATAATAGATCAAGAGATAGAATTGAATTTTCTATTACTAAATAATGAAATTATATTGTAAAAGAAAAAATTGTTTCAGTTTAACATTTTTTAAGAGATCTAACATTCTTTTGCTAGTAATGCAATGTTATAAAAGAAATCATATTGAAAAAAATTTAGGAGGAATATTGAAAGATAGCTAATTTTTCGCAAGTAAAATATTA